CTTGACCCTTTCTCTCTGGAGGCCTGTTAGAAGCACGTGTCCAGAACTGCCAATCAGAATCAATCAATGCAATCAACAAGAACCTGATCCGGTAAATGGACCATCTCTGGGTTTGATTTGTAACTCCAACCACCATCTCGCCAATGCTGCAATTCAATTCTCAGAACCAGCCCAAGCGAGGTTTCCTGGACTCTTGTCACTCCTGGAGACCGGCATGCCAGCAGGTTTTGTCTGTTTTGAGTCTACATCACTCAAGGCCCTTCCGGGAATGATGAGTTCTTCCCCTCCCCTGGGGTGGTCAGCTGGTGGGGGGTCGGGGGGACAGTCCCACAAGCAGGCCCCTGCCCCACAAGATCGCCATCCTGCACATGTGTGTCTTGGCCACAGCTCACGCTGAAAGTTTAAGGACAGAAACGCTGGCCGGCTGGCCCTTTCGGGAGCTGGAAGCACAGGGTGGGAAAGGAAGGACTTTTCTGTGTTTTGGCCACAGGGCCAAGGGCGTGTGGCAAGAGGGAGCAAAGCTGGTTCTGCTGACAACAGAAGGACGATTTCCTTCTGAAAACATAGAAACCTACACCAATGAATTAAACATTTCAAACAAGATGACTCTCTACAAAGTCTTTTCAACCAAGAAGGAAAGACAAGCCGTCCTGTGCTGGCGCTTCCTGTTGCATATGGCACTGAGAAATACTGTTTTTGCAGCATGCAGAGCTTTCCAGAGAAAGGAAAATATCAAGGGGAAGGAAAATCAGAGAAAGAGGTCCAGAGAAGTCAGGCAGGAGGGATGATGAGAGGATGGGGGGAGAGGAGGCCTTTACTCAGGGCCCAGGGGCACAAATAAGTGGAGGGGGGCAAAACAGCGATGGCCGTGAGCCAACGCGGTGGACCCGACAGGTCCAAGGAGGTGGCTGTGGAGGGCGGGAGCCGCGCTGAGGCAAGTTGCAAACCAGAGACACCACCCTACCTCCTGCCTCCATGGGGAGGGGTCCCCACCACCCCTGGGCTGCAGGGACCTGCTCCTTCCCCCAGCCTCAAAGTGTGATAGACCCAAGTTCTCCAAACCCTAGGCCTCGGGGGGGGGGGGGGCTGCCCTAGGAACCCCTCAGAGACTGCTTGGTGGGCAGTGCCTTTGGGCTCAGGACCCACAGGATGTACCAACTGGACTCTCGCCCTGAACCCGGCCAGAACTTCCCCAGCTTCTCAGCAATACGCACACTTGCCTCACCCACCGTCACAGCCAGGGGGGTCCTGTCCCCACCCCACCCCAGCCCCCGCCCTTCTAGAGCCTTTCAGCGGGCTGTCAATGGCCCCCTAGTCTCCCCCACCACTCCCCCCCCCCCCCGCACCCCACATCACCAAACAGCAAACTCTCTCCTGCCAGGGGCCTGGCACACCCGGGCTCCAGCCCTGGAAGAAGAGGAGCCAGGAAGGAGGAAAGCTGAGATGTGGGCTCGGAGAAGGCTGGCGAGGGTCAGCGCCTCCCACGCTCCAAGAGCAGTGCCCGGGCCATCTGAGTCGGTCTCCGCGGCGCGGGTGCCAAGCCAGCCCTCTCCAACTCCGGGAGAGGTAGTAAGTGTAAGGCTTGGAGCCCCGCGCAGCCCAGCCCGCGCCGGGGCGGTGGGTGGGTGGGTGTCTGCTACGGGATTATTCTTAGCGCTCCACTCTCTTCGCAAAAGTGGCGCCTCCGCCCTCCAGGCTCGGCACGCTCGCTCCGGGCTCGCACGCCCGGTCCAGACACCGGCGAGGAGGAGAGCCCCGGGTGGGGTCCGCGAGGGGTGAGGCCGGTGAGGAGGCGCAGGAGAGGCGGGGGGCTCCCGGAGAGGAGGGGGCGCTGCGGGAAGGCACCCCCCTCCCTGCGCTGGCGACAGGCGGCGTTTAACCCTCGGCGCCCCGCACCCAGCCCTGCGCTGCGCGCTCAGCCGCCTCCCCGGACTCCTCCCGGGACGCGGGGAGCCGGGCGGCGGCGCGCCCAGCTCTTACCTATGGTGGTGATGACCGTGATGGCAAAGTAGAAGGAGCCGGCGAATTTCCACTGGACGCCGGCGCGGTGTGGCTCCGACTGCAGGATCACCAGCTCCAGCTGCCGGTAGTCCTCGCTGCTGATGTTGTACTTGCCCTTGATCCGGATCTCCTCAGCTTTGAGTTTCTCCTCCTCGCGCATCTCGTGGTCCGACTCGAGGGCGTCGAAGACGGCGGCGCCCACCAGCAGGTAGGTGAAGGTGCAGACGATGAGGGACAGAGTCCGCACGTTCTGCCTCTTCATGGCCGCCAGCAAGGAGCCGGCGCGGGGGGCATGTCCCGCAGGCTCGCAGCCGCGCGCGTCCCACTGCAGCGCCCGGCGGCCGCCGCCGCCGCCTCCTCCGCCGCCGCCGCCGCCTCCAAGTTGTAAGCGGCGGCGGCAGCAGCAGCAGCAGCAGCAGCAGCAGCAGCGGGGAGGCGGGGGGCGGGGAGGCTGGGGGGGCCCCCCTCCGCCGGGGCCGCCACAGCCGCTGCCACCGCGAGGCGGCTGGCGGGGCAGGGGCGGCGCGGGCCCGGGCTCCGGCGAGAAGGCGGACAGGCACAGGAGGCTGCTGGAGCGCCGGGGCCAGGAGTCCGGGAGCCCCGACACCCTGCGCCAGACCCGGCCAAAACAGCCCGCCCCACTGCGCAGGGCCATGCACGGCGGCCCCGCCGGGCACCGCGAGGGCCTCGCTGCCCTCCGCACCCCGCCCCCCGCTCCCGCCGGAAAAGCAGGGGCGGGAGCGGGAGCCGGAGCGCGGCCGCCGGGGCCCGCGCCCCTCCGGGTCCGGCTCCGGGGAGGCGGCGCCCACCTAGGAGCCCGCAGGTTTGCGCGCGCCCCGCGGGACCTCCTTCCCCCTTTAGCCCTCCGCGCCCCCCTTCGAAGGGGGGTGAAAAAGTTTGCGAAGTGGCGGCGTCTCCGGAGTCCCCAGCGAGCGGGGAAGGGGCCGAGCAGGTGCAGCGGGCGGGGCGGCCGGCTGCCCGGAGGTCCGAGCGCCCTGCTTCCACCCGAGCACGCCGGGACGCGGCGGGGTCCCCGCCAGGCGTCGGCCGCTCCGCGAAGTTTGCTGGGCTCAGCCCCCGAGGCGCGGGAGCGGGGCGCGGCCCCCGGGCGGCAGGGCCCGCGGCGGAGCGGCCTCGGGGGCGGCCGGGGGACGGCGCGGCGGCGGTCGGCCAGTCCGCTCCTCCGGGGGCGGCGGGCGCGGCGGCGGCGGCGGCGGGAGGGGTCCCGCGGGCCTCGCGGAGATGCGGGGTGGGCGCGGGCGCATGAGCCGCGCCGGGGTCGGGGCCCTCCGGCGTCCGGGCGTCCGGGGAGGCGGCCGCAGCGCTGGTCTGCCTGGAGCGCTGCGTGCGTGCGCGCCGGAGGGAGCCCGAGTGTGTGTGCGTGTGTCTGTGCGTATGTGTGCCCGTGTGAGTGAGTGTGTGTATGCGCGCGCGGGCGCGCGTGTGTGTGTATGTGTGTGTGTGTGCGCGCGCGCGCGCGTGGCAGCCCGGCTCCGGCGGGAGGGCCACGGGGGGCGGGGGCCGGGCTACGCTGAGGCCCGGCCTCCCTCCCTCCTTTCCCCCTCCCGCAGCCTCCTGGGTGCGCCACCTCCCGCCTGGTCCCCAGCCAGCTGGCGAGGCAGCCGCGGCGGCGGCTCCCGCTGCAGACCGAGCGCGGCACAGGGCGCACGCGGAGGGGGCCGGGGAGCGGCGCCCGGTGCCACCGGGGAGGGGGCGGAGGCGGGCGGAGGGCCGGGTATCGCCCGAGTGGGGGTGGGGGGCGGAGCGCCGGCAGGTTTCGGCGGGGGGATGGGAGGATAAATGAGGCTGCTCGGAGGCTCGAGTCCAGCTCCCTGAGAGACGGAGAGTTTGAGACCCGGGCTCGAGCGCAGAGACGGCATGCAGCCGGAGAAGGCAGACAGACAGCTTAAGGGAGAGGAGAAATCCAGCGGAGAGTGGGCGCACGAGGGGCGGGTCCGCGGGCGCCCGCGGGGAGCGCGCCGCCGCTCGCGGCTCCCCCAGGGGTCAGCCAGCTGGCCGCGGGCGTGTGTCACGGGTCTGGATGCACCTCCTCTTGGCGCGCTGGGATCCCGAGGGCCGCGTCGGACCCGGAGGGCGCCGCCGGCCGGTCGGCCCAGCCCCGGCCGACCTGAGCTGTCCCCCGGGGAGAGCGCTGAGGATGGCAGGAGCCACCGCTCCTGGGATGGGGCCGCTGGGGAGGACGCCGCGTCCCCCCGTCCGCTTCCTGTTGCTTTTACGAGAAACACTCCTTAGTTCCCCGAGGCTGAGCGCGGGGTGCCCCCAGAACTCAACCCTGACGCTCTCCGCCCCTTGCGACGGCGCCTCTCCCGGCCAGCCTGGGGAGGAAGCCCGGGCGTCCGCCTGGGCGCAGCTGCTCCCTGAGGCCAGAGAGCGGCCCTCGCTCGCCTTGACTCGCCTTATGTTTCAGCCTCCTTTGCCCTCTTTCTCCCCATCTTCCCTCAGGTCTTCGAGGGAGTTTCTCGCGACCACCAGCCCCTTTAATCGCCTTTTGAGCAATGAAGCCCGAAGGGGCAAGCGGGAGTCGCGGAGACCCCTGGGCGCCCCTTCCCTTGGACCTCGGCCAAGAAAGGGGAGACTTAGGGGAAGGGGCGCCTCCCCCCGGGCGGCAGGCTAAAAAAACGGAGCAGAGGCTAGTCATGGACTCTGGGCCAGGGAATTAAACTCAGCCCTAGCTCAACTCGCTCCAGAAGCCCAGACCCCTGCAGATCATGCCCTCGGGCCGTGCTGGGCTCCCTGTCCCACAGGACTCAGGGTCGAGCGAGTCTGGGGACCTACGGGGGCTCCCCGTTTGGAATGCCGTCCGTCGCATTTTGGGAACTTGCGGGTGGTTGTGCTCCGGGCGTGCTTGCCGGGGAAGGGAACCCGCGCTGCGGGCGACTTCTGGGCCGGTGGGTCCGCGCGGGGGCCGGGAGCCTCACCCCCTAGCGGGCGTTCTCCCCAAAATTCATTTTGGAAACCGAGGCCCCCGCGCTCGGCGAATGAGCCTGACCGCCCGGTGAGTCACCGCGAGCGGGCGACAAGGATTCCCAGCAGCTGGTAATTAATCGCGCCGTGGCGGCTCGGCCCACGGCGGAACCCCAGCCGGGCCTCCCGCCGCGCGGCCGCGGCGCCACCCCTGAGTCACAGCCGTCGGGCCCACGCCGTCCGGAAGCTGCCCGGACGCCACCAGGGGGCAGTGGACTCCGACCCACAGGTCGCCCGCTTTGAGTCAACCCCTGGCAGGAAAAGTCCAAGCTGTCCCCGCCGGCAGGTGCGGGAGCGGGGGATGGGAAGCTGTCCACCCACGGATTCCAAGCCTCGGAGGGAGCCGCTTTTATTCAGTTTACAGACAGCCTTCCAGGCAAACGGAGCAGCCTTGTGTGCGGCATTGGAAGGGACCTCAGAGACGAACTAGGCCGAACCGCTTGTTTTACAGACCGGAACACTTCCAACGGGAGAGGAGCGCGTGCCCAGGGACGCTAGGCAATTCGGGTCCAGAACCCGCACTGAACTTCCTCCTGGCTTCTGTCCTGCGTTCCTTCAAGGACCTGGCTGGCCGCCTTGACCCCAAGTTCACAGTGCCAGGAAGGGCCCCAGACCACTCCCAGACAAGGGTCCTTCTTTCTTCTCCCCTTCCAAATACAGCCTTTGGACTCCAGAGACAGTCCTGGGAGCCAGGCCTCTGGAGGGTTCTTGGTGGGGGAGGGGGGAAAGAGGAGGGCTTCCGGGTCCGTCCCCCCAGCACCCACACTGCTTCCCCTGCCCCGTCCTGCCATGGTCTTGACCAGCAGGGGGAGGTGAGCTCCCTGGAGCAGAGCCTGGGTCTTGACACCTTCCCTGGCCCCAGCCGCTCATCCCCAAGGCAGTCGCTCAGCTATAGCACTGTGGGGTGCTCGGTCCAGAAAGCAGGCTGCTGGACGTGGGTCTGCAGAGACCACCTCTCTCTTTGCCCCTGTGGTCTGGGAACACCAACTCCAGCTCAGCCTGGAGGTGGATCCAGAGCTCAGGTGTGGCCAGTCGGCCAGGTTCCTCCTAGCCCGCAGTGACTGGCTGGGCGTGGCTCACCTCCTAGCCAGTGAGAACCTAGGGAAAGCATTTCTTGAGGAGCCAGCGTGGAGGGACATGGCAGGCCATCTCCCGGCAGCAAATGCTTCATCCACTCTGGTTTAGGCCACTGTGAGTTGGTGCACAGGAGACCTGTGCAGGCTGGGGCCTGTGCGCTGGCAGCCTGTCTGTGCTCCTGAACTGACCCTGGGCCTCCCTGGCCATTAATGTCTTTAGTAAAGCCAGGTGTATCTGATTAGATAATAGAGAACATCATGGTTTTATAATAACTCTACTGCCTACTTCTTTTCTCGGTTCCCTATACATGGTGGGGTGTCCAGAGCCTCTGGGGTTAGAATCACTACCCTGCCTTACCCAGGGAGGCCAGCAAGTTTATTCTGGCCCCGCAGTGAGTCAGGTGGGCCTCACTTCCCGTCCAGTGCCCCTTCCCCATCAGCAGATGCGTCTGTGGGCGCGGGGCCAGCGTCCAGGGCAGCGGCCTCTTCCGGTCCTCACTCCTCCATGCCTTTGCTCAGGATGTTCCCTCCACGTCATTACCATTCCCTGCCCTCCTCAGGCTCTCGTCTCCTCGTCGTCAAGATCCAGCTCTGGCATCTCCTCCAGAAGCTTCCCCTGTCCCCAGGCTGGATGAGGGAGGCGCCCGCACCCCTGCACTCATTTATGTCCCGTGACCCCTTCAGTGCCAGCCACACCGCCCCCGCCAGTCAGTGAGCTCCTTGAGGGCAGGAGCCACACCAGCCTCAACTCAGTCACAGCAGACCCGCCACACAGCAGGCTCCTCTGTCCGTGGAATTCTCCAGCAAGAATACTGGAGTGGGTAGCCATTCACTTTTTCCAGCAGATCTTCCCCACCCAGGGATAGAACCCAAGTCTCCCGCATTGCAGGCAGATTCTTTACCATTTGCACCACCAGGGAAGCCCCAAGGTATACAATAAATGTTTGCTAAAGACTACAGAGCAGAGTTAAATTCATGTGCCAGTAGGTTTGAGGTCACTGCCGCAAGCGAGATCTCTCATAGGAGGACAGGAAGAACTAGATGCGAAAGAGCGAAAGAGAAAAAAAAAGCTATGCAGATGGCAAAGATGGTTACCTGCCAGGACCCCGAAGTGCCCAAGGTTTAGGCCTTGACTTTGATGGCCCTGGGGGTCCAGTGCAGTGAAGAAGGAGGAGAAAGAACACAAAAGACAAAGGTGGAAGAGAGGGCAGGAAGGAAAAAGAGCTCAAACAGGAAGCAGTGAGCTTGGAGAGGGGAGTGGCGCCAAGGCTGAGCTCACCGATACTGGCATACAGGCTGCCTGCCCTTGACCCAGGCCCAGGGCAGACATTGCTAATCAACCCCAGCCCTGTCTTGGGTCAGGGTCTGTTGTTGCAGCCTGAGAATCTTGCACACAGGGCTCATTCTGGGCTCAGTACTCACCTGTCTGCTTCCAGGGCCATCGCCAGTCTGGCCCCATGGCAATGAAGAGTTTACGCCCACTGCAGGAGGACAGAAGGGCCACGAGAAGCTCCTGATTGAGAGCGGCACCACGATGGCGGTGCGTGGCCCCTGCTGTGACGGACCCCAGGGGGTCTCTCTTGAGCACCTGCTGGGCGTTTGGCTTGAGCTGGGGCGTCAAGTTGACCCTGTGAGGCCACTGTCGTCCCACTGGCTGGTGACGGAGCCACGGCTTCATGCCTAGGGTGGTGACCATGACTTCTGATGCTTGGTGGAACGTGGTGGGAGCTGGGAGGTCAAGCCCTTCTCTTCCAGCCCAGGCAGCAAGGCTGCGAAGGAAGAGGGAGGGTCAGCCCAGTCCCTGGTACCCAGGAAGGGCTCACAGTGACTTCACCGGCTCTGTGATTAGACCCAGAGAGGCCAGGGCCAGCTGCAGGGCTGATGTGGCCAGAGTCAGGGAAGGAGGGCAGGAAAGGGGCCCAGGGCTTTGAGACACAAGAGGCAGAGCCATGATACAAAAGGGAATCTGAGGCTGGGCCTGGCTCAGTCTGCCTAGAGGGTTCCAGGAGGTCATATCGGGAGCCAGGGAGGTCGTTCAGGGAGTGGACTGTCACAGCCCATGAGCTTTGGGTTGTTGGACTTCCAGCTGCCCCGCCTGAATGTCGATCAGCAGGTGATATGAGGACATGTGCCCCAAACTGGGTGGGGCGCCTCCCTGAGACGTGGGCCCTAGGGGGTCTCAGGTGAGGTTTCTGAGCCCCAGGGTTCTCCGTGTGCAGTGGGGTCTCGAATTGCAGCTGTGTGGGCAAAGCGCGGAGGAGATTGCACTGTTGCAGGAACAATTGGTGTGTGGAATCAGGGCGACGGATGTGCCCCCAGAGTTAAAAGACTTTTAAGAGAGGGAATTTCATCTAGTCAATGAGGAGCAGGCCAGCACTCCCTGGGACTAAGGCTGACATGAAAATAAGGGCGGAGGCAAGGCCAGGCCAAGGCCCCTTCCTTCAAACCAAGGACGGCCCCAGTGCCCGCCGCGCACACATGCTTTGCTTTACTGAAGGAAGCGTGATAAATGGATTTTGGGCCTCTTATTGTAGCCTGAACAACTGCCCAGCTCCACACCTGATCCGTAAATAGCTCCATCGCGTTCCCCACGGAGCCCCAGCGCTGCCAGGATCAATCAGACCATCATCAGAAGCTTCCCCGGCTGACAGCTCCCGAGGGGACAGATGGAGGCACCTGAACCCTGCACCCACCAGGAGGGTCTCATTAACCGAGGCCAGGGCAGCTGGGCCAATACCTCGGGAGGCTGTTCCCAAACCAGGCTCAGGAGATGGGAGGGCGCCTGTCTACGCCCACAGCAGCTCCTGGGCAGGGGGAGGGCCATCCTGTCCCCCACCTCCGCTGCTGGGTACTCAGCGCTTGGCAGAGCAGAGGTTCCTGGGCGTTTGCTGATTAGATTAATGAAATGGATTTGAGAACGACGTAGTGATGGCCAGGAAATGGCATCAGTGACCTTTCTCGGTCACCTCCTCATCACCCAGGGCCTGGCTAATTAGATGGTTAAACACCCATAGAGAGATGTTCAACATTTGTTGAACCCAGCTCTTCTCCTTCATAATAAAAACGATAATATAAATAAAAATAAGAAATCTAGAAAAGTCTTCTGCTGTTAAGAATAAACAGAAACAACAGTTTATGGAGAATGCTCTAACCAAGGGACGTTGAGAAAGCGTTGGACAGGAACACCCGGAAATTGTCCAGCATGGGGAAGGGACAGGGCCGGGGTGTGGAGGCCCAGCTGGGGACCGTCTCCAGGGAAGCAGCCTGTCTGCAAGGCGCACACGCACTGTGACCGGGCTCTCTCTCTCAAACTCGATTCTCCGAGGTGGACCCAAATGGCCCTCGACTGTGGAATAGCCTTCCGAGTCGGGTGGCTGGGATCCTGATTCCAGGCTTGTCGTCTCCACCTGCTGTGACCATGGGCCAGGGAGTGAGCCCCTCTGTGCACCCCTGGGTTGGTTAGCAAGGGCGGAGGTGCCCCCATCCGTCCAGATGCAGGGCAGGCAGGCGTGTGCGGCACCTGTGGGGGGCAGGGGGCACGCAGCGTGGGTCCACTGCTCTCCTGTCTGCACCGCCCTGCCCACCGGCCAAGGAGCTGTGCCAGCCACCACACACTCGTGGTGGAAACGCTGCTCGCAGCCAGCTACCCTGGTGGGAGCTAACTTTGGCCCAGCCACACGGCGCCGTCACTGTCCCCGTGCCGAGAGCTTACGGACCCCCGCGGAAGGCGTCTAAATATTCTTCCCTTTCCGAAGGCTGGTTCCCGCCTCTGCCATTTTCACCTTTGTGTGGCAGAAGGTATTTTTGCAAACGCAGCCGAGGTGGCAGCGATTTCGCAGCAAGAATGCGGCGTCCCCGTACGCACCGCTGCTATTTTGGGGACTTGCAGGTGTATCCTGTGTATCATCACAGGGCTCGTCACCCTCTCAGGGGAGGGGAGAGAGGGCAGGGTGCCTCCTCCAGGAAGCCCTCCTGGCTCAGGCCGGGTCTAGGGCAGGGCCCGTGTGCCCCTGCGCAAACAGTCCTGTCCTCAGCACTGTTGCTCCATCCCCTGCTTTGGTCCAGGCTGCGAAAGTCCCAGGCCAGGGCTTGTCTGACCTGAGTCCCCAGCAGAGTAGGACTCAGGAAACACCCACAGAGTTGACTTACCACCCGGGGGGGCTCTGCAGGGTCTGGCGCTTCTGAGGGGCTTTCTCTGCCCCTAAGTGTGTCTGCCCTGACAGCACTTGCCAGCCTGGGGGCCTCCATGCCAGGCGGGGACTGGGAGTTTGTGATGCAAAATGAACAGGAGATGGCAGGTCTGGAGTTGGAGACCTGTGGGTCACATGAGGATGTAGGCGCCCAGACCAGCCTCAACTCTGGTCCCCAGAAGGCTTCCCGGCGGAGGGGACTTTGCCTGCCAGTCCCCAGGCTGCGGGACGGGCTGACGCCCAGCTCTCTGGTTCTGAGTGTGGAGCAGGCACAGCGAACACTCTGAGGATGCATGCATTGTAGAACACTGTTCAAGGCTTGAACTTCTTCCCACAGTGCTGAAAGGGATGCTGGTAGTTAGGATTCCTTCCTCATTTGACGAATAAGGAGGCAGCAGCCCAGAGAAGTCCAGGCACTTATGGGAGATCACAGAGTCGTCACTGTCAGCAGGGCTGGGACACCATGCACCTACCAGGCCCCCAAGGTCAGGTCCAGCCCCTATCCCCTGGAGGGTCTCCAGGGGGTCTACACAGCTTGACAATCCAGCTCTTGCCTCCAAGGTGTTAGGGAGCCAGTAGCAAGGTCCCTGCTGTCACGGAACAGTCGTCCTGCTGGGAGAGTGAACAATGAACCAGTTAACCATCAGGGTAAAGCCAGGGATGGGTGACTGCAGGACAGTGAGAAACATGGGATGGTGAAATGTGTGCTGGACAGTGGGACATTTGTGGGGGCGGCAGTCAGAGAAGGAGTGCTGAAGAATTGATGCTTTTGAACTGTGGTGTTGGATGAGACTCTTGAGAGTTCCTTGGACTTCAAGGAGATCCAACCAGTCCATCCAAAATTTTCATTGCAAGGACTGGTGCTGAAGCTGAAGCTCCAGTACTTTGGCCACGTGATGTGAACAGCTGACTCATTGGAAAAGACCCTGATGCTGGGAAAGATTGAGGGCAGAAGAAGAGGGTGACATAGGATGAGATGGTTAGATGGCATCACCAACTCAATGGACATGAATTTGAGCAAACTCCTAGAGAATATGAGGGACAGGAAGGCCTGGCATCCTGCAGTCCATGGGGTCACAAAGAGTCAGACATGACTTGGCAACTGAAGAACAAGAAGTCAGGGATGGCATTGAAACAGACATGAACGACATGTTCAGATCCAGGAAAGGGTGTCTAAGCAGAGGGAACAGCCTGTGCAAAGGCCCTGGGGCCAGTGGAGGGACCTTGGCTTATTCAGGGAAGAGCCAGAAGGTAGATGTGACTGGGGTGTAAGCCCAGGGGAAGTTGGCACAGGTGAGCTCAGAGGGCAGGGCTCCAAGCCTCCAGGGGGATGGGAGGCAGGGCCAGATCATGAAGGTTCTCTGAGGCTATGGGAGGAACATGGATTTCACTGGTGCACTCATGGAAGTCCGTGTGTGCACTGCGTAGGGAGGGAGCTGAGGCGCACCCCCTCATTGGATGGTGTGGGGCACCCCCTTCCTGCAGTATCAGCCCCTCAGTGTGCCTGGGGAGCTCTCCAGCCTGGAGGTGGGGGCCAGGGTGAAAAGCCGTAAGGTGAGCCGGGCACCACACCAGCACAGTCTCTGGGCTTGGGGTAGGGGCGGTGCAAGCCATTGGCTCTGGATTCGGACGGCCCTGGGTTGACCTTGGGCCTGTCACTTCACCTGTCTCAGTTTCCTCATCTGTGAAATGGGGACATGGTGTATTTTGCCCTTAGCAGAGTGAGTGGCACAGGTGAGCTGCTTGTGTTTGTCTCTGTCTCCAGCTTTGAGCCTCACTCTCTCATAAGCTGGGACTTCCCTACAAGCTCAGATGGTAAAGAATCTACCTGCAATATAGGAGACCTGGGTTTGATCACTGGGTCAGGAAGATCCCCCACAGAAGGGAAAGGCAATCCACTCCAGTATTCTTGCCTGGGGAATCCCATGAACAGAGGAGCCTGGCGAGCTACAGTCCATAGGGTCTCAAAGAGGCAGACAACCTAGTGACTAACACTTTCACTGTTTTTTCACTCTCATAGGCTACTGTTTCTTCTCCAAGTGCAGGGGCACTGTTGACTCCTGCACAACTGTCCTCCGATTTTGAATCCAGCAGAGCAGAGGCTGGAACAGGAGGATCGAGACATCAGAAAGAAAGAGGGGGGAGTGGAGGACCAGAGAGAAAGCCAGAGAGTCTGAGGGTGTCAGAGAGAAGGGGAGATGCAGGAATCAAAGGGGGAGGGTGTGAGGGCAGATCAGAAAGAAGCAGGGAGACACCGGGCGGGGCTGAGACTGTTGGGGTAAGTGTCCCTGACTTCCGTCCAGATGAACTCCTCTTTGGTGTTCCCACCCCAGAGTCTCTGTTTCCCCCGCAGACTTCATCTTAGAATCTGAGACCAGAACAGAGCTACCGGAGTTCATTCTCTCTTGACACGAGTGTCTGTTAAGCATCTACTCTGCCGCGTCCTGGTCCAGGCCCTGGAGGCACAGCGGTGCGGTCAGGAAGCTTACACTTCCACAGACCCAGGCACCGTGTGCGTGCCCGCCGCCGTGGTCCTGCATCCACAGCGCTGTCTGGGCAGGGCAGTGCACCCGCCCCGCGTCTTCTCCTGTGCAGCCATGCTGGGCCATACTGACCCGTGGTCTGGCCTGCACGGCAGGCGGCTCAGCCGTTGTGGAGAGCATCGGGAGAAGGGTCAGGCCAGACTCTGGGGCCAGGCCTCGCTTCATCTCCTGTCTATCTGCGTTTTCTGAGCAGGCACCTTTGGCAGCAGGATTTAACTGAGTATTCGGTTTCCACCTACCATCCTTCCTTCCCTCCCTCTTTCACTTAAGTGGGATCATGGTGTGACGGCTCTCCCAGCTCCCTCCCCATTTCCTCTCAAAGTGTGCATGCCTGTTGTGCATGCTCAGTCGTGTTGACTCTGCATCCCCATGGACTGTAGTCCGCCAGGCTCCTCTGTCCATGGATTCTCCGGGCAAGAATACCAGAGTGGGTTGCCATTTCCTCCTCCAGAGGATCTTCTCGATCCAGGGATCAAACCCTCATCTCCTGTGTCTCCTGCATTAGCAGGTGGGTTCTTTACCACCGAGCCACTTGGGAAACCTCTCATTTAAGTGTCCTCCCTAGTAAATTTCTTGTGTATTTAGTTGCATTGCAACATCTGCTTCTTGGGGGACCCAGACAAACATGGGGGTGTTCTGCTATCAGATCTGAGCCCCCAAATTGCTGATAAAGAAAAATCATACCATCGGGGGGGGGGTGGGGGGAAGGGGCAGAGCCCGACAGGAGGGAGAGAATTATTCCTGGAGAGTGAGAGCATCCCATATCCAAATGGTTTCTGAATCAGTCAGATGGGGTAGGGTATACAGCAAGTTATGGGCTGAATGCTTGTGACCCACCCACCAGATTCATTTGCTGAAATCCTAACCCCCAGTGTGATGGTGCTTGGTTGTGGGGCATTTGGGGGGCGGGTAACAGGTTTAGATGAGGTCACGGGAGTGGGGCCCCAAACGGGATTAGAGTTCTTGTAGAAAGAGGAGGAGCCCAGAAACCACCTCCCACACGGCCGCCTCGGCCATGTGAGGACAGGATGAGAACGGGCCATCTGCAAGCCAGGAAGAGGGCTCCTGCCAGGTGCCAAGCCTGCCAGCGCCCGATCCCAGACCCCCCAGCCTCCAGAACTGCGGGAGGTAAGTGCTGTATAGGCCAGTCGCCTCACCCCCACCACCGTCTGCAGTGTTTTCTTACAGCAGCCTGAGCTGGCTAAGACACATCAGTACCAGGACAATTTTTAAATTAACCAAATCAGCCATTCAAATCGCAAAGGCTGTTTCCTGCTCATGTTCAGTTGACAGTAGCTCTACGCACTGGTCCCCTGAGACCCAGGCTGGCAGACACTCCCCTGCCCTAGGCACCTGTGATCCCCAACAGGGAGAGGGAACCTGGCGGATCTCACCACAGTCCCAAGGGCTTCTGCCCAGAAACCTCCTCCACCACATCTGGTGGACAGAGGACTTCTGTCCACTCTCATGCCCAGCATAGACTTTCGCCTGAGCATCCTGTCCCCAGGTAAGTTCCCGCTCACCTGTGAAGGTGAAGGAAGATTCTGTGATGACACTTTCCAAATTCTCTTCTATCCCCCACCCCTTCTGAAAAAAACAAAACAAAAAACTGAAAAGAAAGAAAAAAAGACTCAAATCTGGAAATAAAGGAGTCAGGACAGAGCCCAGAGAATGAAGAAAAATGAAAAGGGAATGACATAGTGGTGAGCAGTGGACCTTGATATGTGGGTAAATTAAACAAAAATGAATAAGGATAGACCTGTCTCAAACTGTGCCATCCAAGTGCTAAGCAAGGGTTCCTGAAATTGAAGGTCTGTACTGGAAGGAAAAATTCTAATGATAGTCTATTTATAAAAGTCATAGCTCAGCGGTAGCTACGAGTTATGGCCAGAGGGGGCAAATGATAAACTTTGCGAGGATATCATCTTGGAGGGAGAGGGGAAAGGAAGAAAATAAAAAATGTCTGGAAGGGTCATTTTTTTAGACTGAGGGGGAATAATTAGCAGAAAAATAGAACACCTTATTGTGTGGGATAGTTGGTATCTTATTTTCAAAGTAGAGAGATGTGGGAAACAGGGAAGGGGGGTCACCATCAACGCAATGGAAGGAGTCAGGGTCTATCCGCTTGGGCGAGCATAACAAAATAGCAGTCTTGCCACAGGCTTACACAACACATACTTGTTTCTGGAGGCTGGAAGTCCGGGATCAAGGAGTCTGCAAGACTTGCCCCTCAGCTTGTGATGGCTGCCGTCTTGCTGGGTGCTCACATGACCTCTTCTTTGTGCAGGTGCTGGAAGGAGGGGGAGGAGAGAGAGAGAGAGTTCTGGTGTCTCTTCCTAGAAGGACACTAATCCTCCTGGATTGGGGACCCATCCTTATGACCTCATTTAACCTTAATTACCCCCCGAGAAGCTCCAGCTCCAAAACAGCTACTGAGTGTGAGTGCTTCAACATACGAATCTGGGGGAGACACGTGAGAGAAGGGCCTATGTGGGGGCTTCCAGATTAAGAAAGGGGAAGATGGAAGGAGCAGTAACTTGATCAAGCCATCAAAAGTGAGGAAGAAACAATGATACAAAATAATCAACAATAGTGTCTCACAGGAGTTATATATGTAAGCATTCATATCTTAAACAGAAAGAATTGAGTTCTCCCATGGAAGGATAGACCCTGTCACATTGGGTTCAACAAGCAAAAGGAAGGACGGCCTTAATATTAGAAGGAAGGCCTTATTATTAGAAACATGCTTGAAACAAAATATTTTAAATATTTAAAATGAATTGCTGAGAGGGACCGCCCTGGTGGTCCAGTGGTTTAGAATCTGGCTTGCACTGTGCAGGTTTGATCCCTGGTCATGAACTAGGATCCCACATCCCACAGAGCACCTGGGTGCTCATGTCACATTGCTTCCAATGCGCATGATGCAAGGAAGACTCGCATCAGCTTACATGATGCAAGGAAGACTCGACACAGCCAAATAAATAAGTATTAAAAGATAAAATATATTTCTGGGAAAATATCTATAAGGATAAAGCAGATGAAAACAAAGTATAAAGTAGGACTGGCAGATATTAATCTCAACATGGTTTAAAATAATTATATATGATACATTAGAATGTTATACAATGAAGTGCTATGCAGTCATAAGCCTGTATTTAAAAAACAAAAAAAGAACTGAATAAGTGAAACCTATTAGCAAAGGAATGAGAACCTGATACAGATAAAATTATAGTGAGAAAAAACTGCACATTTTTGTGAGAAACGGACAAGAGTATTAGAAATTAAGAAGCAATTGGAAGTTACGATGCAATCTAATATATTGCATGGCCATTGACTCGATCCTAGTTTGAACAAATCAGATCTTTAAAAGTCATTTTGGGGACAATTAGGGAAATTTGACTATGGATGGAGTTTTAAATTATAGAACATCATCATTATTTTCTCAGGTACAGTAACGGTATCATGGTTAAGAAGGGAAGAGTCCTTCTTTAGTAAAGAGGCAAACTAGTGTCTAGGGATGAAATGAAGCCTATAATTTAATTCTAAATACCTCAGTAAAAAACAAACATAGCAAAATGTACAGTTATTGAATCTTGGTGATGGATGCTTTTATGTGTTATCTCTCTGCTTTTATGTATATTTAAAATTAAAAAACAACAAAGTAATAACAGAATTGAATAATGCAAAAAATAACTGTGAATGGATATATAATACAGTTTTATACATTTATATATATATATATATATTTTAATCAAATAGTGAATCCCTGTTTATGTGTCCAAAGGTCACTGAGGAAAATCAATATATAATAGGCTGACAAGAAAATATTATCAGATTCAAGAACATAAGAGTGAAGTTTTCACAGGCCTCATGCTCCAGCCATATTCAATAGAGTGAAAGTGTTAAGTTGCTCAATAGTGTCTGACTCTTTGTGACCCCATGGACTGTATAGCCTACCAGGCTCCTCTGTCCATGGGATTCTCCAAGCAAGAACACTGGAGTGGGTTACCAGATTCTCCAGGCAAGAATACAGGAGTGGGTTGCCATTCCCTTCTCCAGGAGATCTTCCCAACCCAGGGATTGAACCCAGGTCTCCCACATTGCAGGCAGATTCTTCACCGTCTGAACCTCCAGGGAAACCCATGCATTGGAAGGTGAAATCTTAACCACTGGACTACCAGGGAAATCCCTAGTATAGGTTTTAACCTTTTTTCCCTTGTTTCTTTTCCCAGATGGTATGTAATTTCTCTTTTGATTTTTCTCTTCAATCTGAGAGTTATGCAGGAATGTTTTAAATTTGCAAATAAAGTGTGTTTGGCTCCCTTATTAGTGGTGAAGTTTTCATGTTCCAATGGAGGGAGTTCAATCGCTGGTGGGGCAGCTAAGATCCCACATGCCTTGCAGCCAAAACAAACAAAAAACAGAAACAATATTGGAACAAATTCAATAAAGACTTTTAAAACAGTCCACATCAAATATGTATGTATATATATATACATATATATATATATACATACATGCTAAAGTTAACACAGCTTAGAAACACACAGCCTGAAATACTTCCATTAGAGGGGGCAAAGACTAAACATAGCATCATTTTTAGTACTTGTTTCAAGCAACTAGGAAAAGATACAACAAAAGAAACAAGAAAAGGGGAATTCATAAGGTTAAGAACTGAAACTGATGAATAGAAAAAAATTTTAAATAGTGGGAAGAATATATAAATGTAAAAGCTTGTTCTTTGAAATGGCTAATAAAATAGAAAAAAAAAAAAACCCTCGTGAGTCCAATTATGGAGAATGGAGAGAGAGGGTAAAATTAGACAAGATTAGGAATGAGAAGGCAGACGTACCAATATAACTACAGATACAGGGGAGATAAAAATAATTATGAGAGAATATTATATGCAACTCTGTGATAACAAATTGAAAACCTCAGGGAAATGGATGATTTCCTAGTAAAAGTAAATTACCAAAATCAGTCCAAGAAAAAATGGAAAATTTTAATAGACCAATTACCATAGAAGAGATTAGAAGGTGATTGGAGATCTGTCAGTGAAAAGACTGCAGAATCAGACAGGCTTACCGCTGAATTTTATCTAATTTCTAAAGAACTAATCATTTTAATACTGTTTAAACTATTTGGGGCCATGGAAAAGGATAGAAGAGAAATTCTCTTATTCATTATGT